AGAGCATGATGTTATACCCTAACATTTGTTTTAGCTTCTACAATGATCTGAGTTTTTTATTTTCTTTCGACGATTTCAATTTTATCATTGTTCAATGAGCATGAGATTCAAAACCAATATCGGCAAGCTCTTGTCTTTCAATCTCGACAAGCTCTCTTCTTGCTATCTCTACTCTCTCCGAAGCCTTCTCCAACTCATCAAGCAACGCTTTGTTATCTTCTCTCCCCAATAGTTCCTCAACTTGCTTGCCCACCATGCCGCTGAGCGCATCCTTCAGATTATCGTCGCCGCTGCATTTTGCGATGACCGATTTGTTGGGAAACGAAGAATTGGGTCGAGAGAAGAGAGGCGGCGACGATGGGAATTTGTTGCCTAATAATGAAAAAATCGGCTTGGTCGTGCTCGTTCTTGAAATGACTGGATGATTATACGATTGCACTGTTTGCTTGGCCGCCACTTTCCCCCCAATCTTAGCGAGAAGCAAGCAGGAATGGAGAAGGATTGCTCTCGTGTGGGATTGATGACCCTGAAAACCGAAACGTTTCTTCTCTTCCTTGGGAGAATAATAAAACGAGGTGAATTTGACGAAAGGAGGCGGCTTTTTCTTTTGTTAATTTGGAGGGGCTATGTTGGGGGTTAATTGCATGTCATGCCACTTAAGTTTACCCAGCTTATGTGAGTCAGCAGTCCAAAGCTGCGCTAGAATGTCCATGTGGCATGTAAAATTATTTTTTCATACTCGTCGTTAAGTTTTTGGATGGAAAAGATGACGGTGCAACAAACATTGAACTTAAATGTTTTAGTTGCAACTAAACAAATCTAAATGGTTAACGTGCAACCAAACCAAAACTTAAGTGGCATGACATGCAATTAACCCAACATATTAGCATTAGCAAAAAGTTTGGGTAAATAACTGAAATCAAGTCTAAAAATAAAAAAGTGGCTCATATCTTATGCAAAATCACATATGCAATAAAAGCAACTATTGCCAAAAATAGGGAAATTAATGACAAAAATATCATTAGAAGAACATAGTTTTTCTATTGATTAATTTTAAAGGCAAATGCAATTGTCCCTAAAATGAAATACGGGAGCAGAAATATGTGCTGCTAAATGTAATATTACTGGCAATCATGTATGCTACTAGATTGACAAAAGAATAATTAAATAGTTATTCAAAAGTCAAATTGGCAACAAATTTTTTTGGGCAAATTCATACATTAGCCGCATATAATATTTGCCGCTAACATATGTCGCTAAAGACATTTAGCGGCAGCAGTATTGACAGCACATATTTATGTGCTACTATAGAGCTATCGCGACACATAAATTCCTTATCGTGGCAAATACACTTTGCCGCTAAAAATAATTTTTCTTGTAGTGTATAGCTAAGTAAAAGTGTACTCGTATATTCATTAAAATAGAGATCAAATCTAAGGGATTATAACCTAATGATAATGTGGGGACAAAAACATTTATCACATTTTATGTTCAAATTTTGAGCCAACAATCAACGTAAAAAAGAGAGAGAGAGAGAAACAAGGTGGAATTAATTAAGAATTGATAATACAACAAGAAAAGGTAGTGGGTGGTAATAGCTAGGGGTGTCCGTTCGGGTCGGGTTCGGTTACCCGAACTGAAACCCGAAAAAACCCGAAAACCCGAAATCGAAAATTACCGAAAGCGAACCCGAACCCGATAAGGACTTGCGGGTTCCGGTTACCATTAGCTACCCCCACTAAGTCTCCCCTAACTACTTCTAGGTGTTGGATACTTGTGTTATCATATTTTTTATTATTTTAATGGAAATTTAATAATTAATTTAAAATTTATTTTCTATATTACAAATGGATGATAATCTTCAAATTGCAACCTAAATATCTATTACATATCGAATTGTAGTATTCAATATTTAGAATTAATTATGAACTCTTCAATTGGTATTAATTTTCAAAAGTACCATGAAGCAGTGATTTTTTTCCCGCAAACTATAATTGACTGGTTTAGCTTTCACCATATAGTTTATAAATATACTTATTACTTGTGATTTTAGTGGTAGTGGTTGAAATGCATGTAGGGTTTCATCAAGTTTTCAAAGTAAAGTATTAAGTCATGTCGGTGCCTCGAAAGCTGGTTTGTATAGCAAAGTAAAAGTGTACTCGTATTAGGGATGGCAACGAAACCCGAACCCACGGGCACCCACCCGACTCAACCCGGTCAACGCGGGTAAAATCCGTGTTGACGGGTTTTGGGCCGGGTTTGGGTTTAAACCCGTTCACTATTCATCGGGTTGGGTTTGGGTTTAGGTAAACCCGACCCATGGGTACCCGCCCACACCCATATAATTAATTTTCTCGATATATTTAATATTCTAAACAACTAATCTTATTTATGTTTGTGGAGACATGTCTAATTTTTCTTTCTAATTGTGTAGAGCGAAGTTGATGTTATCGAGTGGAGAGTGAAGAAACTTAATTGAAAGGAAGAATTTTTCAATTAATCATGTTATTTATGGATAATTTATGATTTGCTTCAATTTTCTTGAGTTTTCTAGATTGGTGTTGAACAATTTGTATAGTTAATTTGTGATTTGCTTGAATTTCTAGAATGGTATTTTATATATGAATAATTTGTATTGAGAGATTGATATTTAGTTTTAATTTTGATAGGAACTTGGTATTGTAATTTTTTACGACAAAAACCCGTGGGTACCCATGAACCCGTGGATACCCAGCGGGTTGAGTTGGGTTTGAGTTTTTCAAACCCAGTGGGTTTTACCCCGGGTTTTTTCCACGGATAAACCCATGGGTTTGGTTTTGGGTTTGGCAAAACCCGACCCAACCCGACCCATTGCCATCCCTAACTCGTATATTCATTAAAATAGAGATCAAATCTAAGGGGTTATAACCTAATGATAATGGGGGACAAAAACATTTATCACATTTTATGTTCGCCAACAATCAAAGTAAAAAAAAAGAGAGATAGAGAGAAACAAGGTGGAATTAATTAAGAATTGATAATACAACAAGAAAAGGTAGTGGGTGGTAATAGCTACGGGTGTCCGTTCGGATCGGGTTCGGTTACCCGAACTGAAACCCGAAAAAACCCAAAAACCTGAAATCGAAAATTACCGAAAGCGAATCCGAACCTGATAAGGACTTGCGGGTTCCGGTTACCCGAAATCCGAAAATTCTTTATCGGGTTCGGGTTCGGTTAAAGCAAAACCGAAACCCGAAAACCCGAACACCTAAAAATACATACTGAGTTCTATTCATTGGAGGTTTTTAGCCGGAACCCGAAAACAGATAAGCAAAACCGAACCCAAAATCGAAAAAACTGAAACCCGAAACGAACTCGAACCCGAAAAACCGAAAATGTATATAATCGGGTCGGTTTCGGGTAAACCTGAAAAACCGAACCCGAATGGACACCCTAGTTATAGCTAGTGAAGTTTGGCATGTTAATGGGAGGCGGGTGATGGAGTATGGAAGGGGCAAGACGAATCAATCTCCTCCATAGTTGATGCATGTTGTCCCTCACTCACCGTTGTTGTGGGAAAAACCCCAAAAATATTATTCTGTCATTTTTAACGGCTGTTTGTTTCCCTTTTGTAAACAAAAGTACTGTAGAGATGATCATAATAATATGAGTTTATAACACGTACCGTATTATTATTATTCGTTTCCCTTTGCTTAATTACGCCAACCATATAAATGGACGCAGTGATTAGTAGTTTGACAAATTCAGAGGCACTCTACTTTATCGTCATCACCAATTAATTAGTTTCTGACACATAATTGATATGGTTAACGACTTTAGAGTCAGGAAAAGGATTAGTCAGGGGAGGATCGGAGCAGGGTCAGGGCAAAAAGATAATGTGAAAAGGAATCTTGTTTTTTTCTTGTTTGTTCGTTGGTTACGATAGTGCAAGTAAAGCATAATCATAAATACAAGTGGGGCTTCAGGAATGGTCAACCTTTGTACAGAGAGAAGAGAAATAAACCAACCACGAAATTTCCTTAGACCAAGAGTTTACCCAAAAAAATTAAAACCTTCAGTACGGCGGGGCTAATGGAGTGGAAGAGTGCCCTCACATGATCTCAATCATGAAATATTTTTTGATTGAATTTTGTTTATACTAAGATTTCTTGCATCAGTTGGGTTGTTAAAATTATGCATGACGCTATCTAAAATTAAGGACATCATTCCTCATTATTTTTTTTAATAAATGATCATTCTTATTCTCGAGAAAACTACTTGATACAAAACAGGTCACATGATTGATATGTTTTTTTTCAGAAAGCGAAACTCTCAGAAAGATTTTCCAACCTTAAATGAAATAACTCTAGTCTAATCGAAGCCGGACAAGCATCTAAGAAATGTAGAATCAGTGGCGGACCCAGAAACTTTAGTAAGAGTATTCAATGATAGACTAAAATCACTAAGGATTGTCAAATAATGTAGTGTCTGAATACTATCATCGCTAAAACAAAATTTTATAAAGGTTTTTTGTCCCAAATTTACATCCGACAACCCTTGCACTAACTTGGGTCCGCCCTTGTATAGAATGTACAAGTATATATTCTCTCATAAATAATAAGCGACTTGAGAAAAAGTAGATAACCATCAACAGAATCAGCCTCCCTAGCTACAAAAATGCTCTAGTGAGTCCATCCATACACACCTTGTTGATGAGCATCCCAACCGAACCCTAACGATCTAGACACGAAAAATAAAAAAAAAGGAATAAATATTTTGTTGGAATAAAAAGGACATTCTGGGTGAAATTAAATAAAATTCATTTTCATTTGGATTAATCATCATGAGAGCCACCCACCCACCCAACTCAACTATCTTCCCTCTCTCTCTCTCTCTAACATATTTTTCAGCACAAAAAAAAAAGGGTCTTTCATTCTTTTCTCTCCTCATCATTAATTTCTTGCTCTGCTGCCCTCTGCCTCCCATCAAACGTTGTTCCCTTATAAAATCAGCTCCTTCCCCTCCTTCCTTTCCCTAGTTCCCATACTTGTTCAACCCGCTCTTTCTCTGTCTCTCTCTCTTTTTTCAGTAATGGCTTCTTCTTCTTCAGCGGAGGATCACGGCCTCCTCCTCGGCCTAACCCTTTCCACCGCCCACCGCAACCACATCACCGCCGCCGCCAACCTCAACGGCGTCCACAGTTTCGAGCCTTCCCTCAGCCTCACCCTCCTCTCCGGTACCGATCACGCCGACCAAGTTTCCGATGCTGATGCGGCGGTCAAGAAAGGAACTGGATGTGCCCGGCAGGAGGCGTCGCCGCCCAACAGCGCGGTGTCGTCGTTCTCGGCGGCCAGCGGCGGGGGTAGGATGGTGATCGTGAAGAGGGAGAGGGACGGTCTCAGCTCCACCGACGAGATGGATACGGCGGAGAGGGTGGTCTCGTCGTCCAGGGCCAGCGACGACGACGACGACGGAGGGTCAACCGCCGCCGCCCGGAAAAAGCTGCGTCTCACGAAAGATCAGTCCGCCCTTTTGGAAGAGAGCTTCAAGCATCACTCCACCCTTAACCCCGTAATCATCGCTCTTAATCTTATTTATTTATTGTCAATAGAATCTAGCTTTTAATTAATTTATTTTTTTCGTGGAATTTAATTTTCTTTTTTTTTGTGAATGGATTTTCATATTTATTTAGGTTTTTTTTTCTCCTCCTTGGTTTTTTTTTTGGGTTTGGAGTTTTCGCAGAAGCAAAAGCAAGCTCTGGCAAGGCAGTTAAATCTGCGGCCCAGGCAGGTTGAAGTTTGGTTCCAGAACAGGAGGGCCAGGTATCAATTCCCATCTAACAACAATCACATAATTATCTTTCTGTTTAACCACCATACATATATTTATATTTCATCTTTTCAAAATAATATAAACAATTAAAAAAAAAAGAATTTAGGTGCCTATAGGTAGTTGATGGATTGTCTAACTGTATTGCCGACAAAAAAGTACCCATAACTTGCGATGTTGGATAGGATACGTAAATATATGAAAAAAATCATCTTGATCCAGCTCAAAATAGCTAAACATGTACATATATGTTGGCTGACATGAATTGTAATAATTGAGAAATGAAAGCTAAAGTTATTCTAATTCCTAAATGTATACAATATTTATAAGGTGGCTATTTCGGTGCACGCACTTTTTTGGTGCATTCATAGCACCCACATCTAAAAATGGTTATAATGCATCAAATTTTGAAATTTAATGGGTTGCATTAGTCTAATATGATGATATAACACAAAATCAAAACTAATCAACCAATTACCCTTACCTATTAACCTTCAATTTTGAATCTCAACCCAAAATCCCAAATTATAAACCCTAACCCTAAATTCCTAAACCATCAATCATTCAAATTAAAGTGAATCTTGAATGATTTTGTACAAATTCATGTGGTTCTTGTTCATCATACCACAAGTGATGATTGACATCGTTTTCACATAAATCGCCTGCTCAGAATGACGATTATGAGGTGGGTGCATTCAAAAAAGTGAGTGCACCGAAGACATAACCCATTTATATATAATTGTATCGATTTCAAAATTAAGTAGGATAAATTTTTTCTAAACTTCAACCGAACTTCACAGCTGATTTTCACTGTAGTACACCAATTGAATAAATTGTTTTATTTTAACTATAATATCGTACATTTACGTTATCTGTTAAGTCACAGTCTGTCTGGCACGAGCTCGGTTTCACAACCTAGGATAGCTGGGCTAGCATCCAGAAATAAAAACAAGGCCCACACAGGAAAAAAAAAAAGAAAAAAGGTTTCGTATTCCCTGACGTAATAAAAGGAGTTGTTGTCTAATGATAATTCTGTGACCAATTATTTTCAATTAGTAGGCGATTTCTTGCTAATTAAATTGCGTGTTTGGGGGGAATTCGGCACAGGACGAAACTGAAGCAGACGGAGGTGGATTGTGAGTTCCTGAAGAAGTGTTGCGAGACGCTGACCGACGAGAACAGGAGGCTGCACAAGGAGCTTCAGGATTTGAAGGCTCTCAAACTGCCACCACCGCAGGCCGCAGCTGCGGCGGCGGCGCAGTTTTACATGCACATGCCGGCGGCCACCCTCTCTATGTGCCCCTCTTGCGAGAGGGTCGGTGGCCCCGCCGCCGGATCTGTTGCCCCGGCAGCTTCCACCGCCGGTGGCGCTGATCATCATCGTGGAGGTGGTTCTGATGGTAATAGCGCCTTCTCCATTGCTCAAAAGCCTCAGTTCTTCAATCCGTTCACGAACCCCTCTGCAGCGTGCTGATTTGTCGGGGGAAAGAAAACGACAACCTCGACAGAACCAAAAAACAAAAAGAAAAGGATGCATGTTGTCTAGATATAGGTAAGAAATGATCAAGAGGATATTAGTTATTGATGATTATATAGAAGGAGAAAGGATTTCAGAGAAGAAGAACATATATACAAAGATTAAAGGACAAGTAAACTTTAATTACCCCAACAATCCCTCTGTTTTTTGGTGAGGGGATGGTACAAGTGGTGAAAGATGAAGACTAATTACTGTAATTAACTTTTTGTTACTTCTTTTAGAAGAAGGGAGAAAAAAAGGTTAGTTAGAATAATGGTAGAAGTTGTTTCTTTCTTTATTTTACCGCTTAGTTACTCCTACTTTCTGTACTTACAACTTTCATGTATATATTTATTGATTTGTATCGTTAATATTACTAGTGTGGGCCCCGGCCAGTTGGCCGGAGGAAGGTAGGATGGCAATGGGTCGGGTTTTGCTAAATTCAAATCCAAATTCATGGGTTTATCCGTGAAAAAAATTCGGGGTAAAATCCACTGGGTTTGAAAAACTCAAACCCAACTCAACCCCCTGGGTATCCGCGGGTTCATGGGTACCCACAGGTTTTTGTCTTAAAAAATTTACAATAACAAGTTGCTATCAAAATTAAAGTCAAATATCAATCTCTCAATACAAATTATCCATATATAAAATACCATTCTAGAAAATCCAAGCAAATAACAAATTATCCATAAATAACATGATTAATTGAAAGCTTCTTCCTTTCAATTAATTTTCTTCACTCTCCACTCGATAACATCAACTTCATTCTACACAATTAGAAAGAAAAAATTAGACATGTCTCCACAAACATAAATAAGATAAGTTGTTTAGAATATTAAATATATCGAGAAAATTAATTATATGGGTGTGGGCGGGTACCCATGGGTCGGGTTTACCTAAACCCAAACCCAACCCGATGAATATTGAACGGGTTTAAACCCAAACCCGGCCCAAAACCCGTCAACACGGATTTTACCCGCGTTGATCGAGTTGGGTAGGGTGGGTACCCGTGGATTCGGATTTTGTTTTCATCCTTAGAGGAAGGTGAGGTATGAAATTTGATAATGTAATGGGGTGTATAACTTATTGTTGTATAGTTTTTTTTTGGGAAACACGTGATAAAAATAGTGAATTTTAGCAGGAAAGAGACATTAATGATGCAACAAATCAAAAATCGGCCTTATGAACCAAAATCAAGTACCTGTTACCTTGTGAAACAATATTGTTTCTGGTAATATGATGAGGTGGAGTAAGTTTTATAGAAACTGAATTCCAGAAAATTGATTAAAAAATCGCCTATCCCGTCGGTTTTCGGGAAATGAGTATCTCACAATCGTTGCTAGCTTTTACTCGGCCCGTTGGCCGATTAATTTGGTTTATAAAACTTTCATCTTGTCGTCATTGTGCTTTCTGGTTTTTTTCAGGCTATGATAAAATCTAAGGAAATAAAGAACGAACAACACGATTTGGGATAGGAACCGTCGTTGTCGTATCCCTAGAAAATGGTGGTAAACACGGACTCACCTGCCAAACTGGTTTGGATTGAGATTTTTATCGGGTATCAGGGAACCATGTGATTATAAATTAGACTTGATCAAAAGGGGCCAAAACTTGAAATGCAGCCTGTTTGACCGACCCATGCCAAATTCTAATTATTCTTTACTTTTAAACTTTTTATTTGAAAATAAAAAATAGTGAAAGAAAAGAGATGACTGCCATTTGCACATCACTTATTCGGGAATAAAACCATAGAAATTCAAAAGGAACTGAAAATGTTAGGATCGTTTTAATGTTTAAAATAACCAAATAGATCTTTCTGTTTAGTTTTTTACTAACAAATACCAAACGATTCCCTATAAAATACACTATGATTTGATCATTATGATATCAAATAATTATATAATATATATTTGAAATGATAAAAATTGGACTAATTGGGTTGGTCGAGGTTGAACCATTGAATAACTTTAAAATACATTATATTTTAGCCACTAAGATATAAAATAATAGCATAATATATTATGCCAGAGAAAATAGCTTGTTTTAGAATGTTAAACCAATGATGTTCATTTGTTTTACTTGATGGCCAAATCCCGTGTAGGTCAAACCAATTCAACTCTTTTATTTTATGGTTAGCGGTTAGCCCATTAGATACCATGCATTAGTTTATTGTTAAATTTTTTATTTTTAGCAATAAAAAGAAGTATTGTTTTTGCCTCTTCATATATATTTTATCACCACGGAGAAATAAAAGGGCTTAATGAAAAAATTGACACTCTTGAACCCGTTTAAATCCGCATGTGTACGGTAAGTTGGCCCGTTCCACAGAGGAAAGAGGAAAAAATTGACACTCCCTATTCTATCATTCCTACAAACGCTCCTTGAGCAGGAAATTTGAAATGGGGGAAGGGTTTTTTCCTCTCTGCTATTATATCTTTTTAATTTAAAAAGATGCAACAAATGTACTTAGTGTGATTGGTTATGATCCTTACTTTTCCTTAAAATGGTCATGGTTCGAATCCCACTATGTGTCTTTTTAATGAATTAAAAAAAGTAAGTGTGAAGACCAAAATGTCCTTCCTACTTTCACTCTCGTTGCAGGAAATTTGAAATGGGGCTCCCGTTTTTCCCTTCGGTGTATTATATTATGTGTAGATTTTCGTTTTCACGGTAAACCTACATATCTATCCACTTCAATTTGTAGTTTTCGCAAATCTCTCACTTGTTGCTCTGTTGAAATCTTCCCTCCCTTAGCCTCTTTTCATTCAACATTGGCCTCTTCGCCTAGCAAAATGCTTCTTTCAAGAAGGTCATCACTATAATCACAACCAATCGAAAACTATATATCATTCTCAATGCTCAAATCATCAAGAGACTACTTGAGTTCTTCTATCAAATACATTACTGACAATATCAGACCTTTGTTATTATCTATTGTATGACTAAAGATGGGTAAAGAGTTGATCACATGGGGCTAGTATTAGAATTTATTATCCCATTTTGTCAACAGTCATCACTAGATGATCTCTTCCTCATGTAGGCATGTACGTAAACGTAGAGTTGGTCTTAGCATAGCAGGTGTTTATGGCTTCTATTTCCTTTTGGGAGTTGTGGTCATGTTTCTCATTGTCCCGGTATGTTTCGAGGAATTTTACTATGCTATATAGCATTAGTGCTATATGTTTTTCTCTTTATGGTATACCTTGAAGTTATAACTTTAACGTTATGGTACAATTTTAGATTGTATCTTTAGTCTTTTGTACAAATTCTTTCATGGTACAACTTGAACTTGTACAGTTATGTGATGGTACAATTTTAAGTTGTAAAGTTGTACCATAACATAAGGGTACAAATTCCTTTATGATACAACCTAAACTTATACATTTAACGTTATGTTACAACTTCAAGTTGTACATTCACTACAAAAAAGTCTGGCAGAAGTGACCAGAACCTTCTGACGACACAGTTTTTTCATTGGAAATAACTGTTTTTCTGACAAACTTTTATTTTGCTCATGAATACTTATGTTATTTCCGAGTAACAGTTAAATTCATCAGAAATGTCTAAATCGTTCCTCATTAAAGGTAAATTTCACATATATGATGAAGGTTGTGCCACTTTTATCGACGATATTTTAATTGCCGTCAGTAATGAATAACATTACTCACTAACTTACAAAAACCGTTGGAAATATTTATTGTTTGTGACGCCAAAAAACTGTTCTACAATTCAGAATGCTTTTTTGTGACGCCAAATGATCTCCTCGGAAAAGTACAGTTTGGAATAATTATATCTGTGAGGATTTTATTTACTCGTCAGAAAAACTATATTTTTTTTCGAGAATGATACTTATATCTACGAGGATTTTATTTATCCTTCAGAAAAACTTATTTTTTTCGACTATGATAATAGGTCGTCAATAAAAAATGATTAGAACAAATGCACATTACATGTAGCTACCTACCTTGTATTAATGACTACATATGTTCCGTTGGTAATGAACAAATGGTTTGAAAAACATAAAGAATAAAAACAATATTAGTGAGCAAACGCGTGTTCGTGAAAACTAGTAAAATAAATCGTCAAAAACAGAACATTACTAACGAATTATGATGTCGTAAGAATTTTTTTTTAAAATATTCCTTTTTTACCCTTAAGCTCATCTTTTTCAATTGTTGATATGAATTCGTTGGAAATAATTAGTCACAAATATTGATTTCACATACAGTAGATTAGTGCATTGGTGTCACAAAAAAACCTTTAAAAAATTTAAGTATATGATGCAACTCGAACCTAGGACCTCTTCTTCATAAATAAGAGTACACACCAGTTACGCTACATGCAATTTGCATTTTGTTATTTCTGTTTCTAATTATTGTGTAATAGAAATATATTTGCAGAGAACTCCCCATCTTCTTCAGATCAATTCAACACTGGTTCTTCCCCTGCAGAACAATAAACGAATCTCAGGCGCTGTTCTTCCCCTGCAGACCAATTAATTCCAAAATTACAATAAATGGTAACGATACAAATTAATCAAAAATGTTCAACGCATCTAAATTGTCGTTCGTTCACATCATCCTCTTAATTGCGGCCAAAGGGAGAAAGGGGGAAGAACAAATCAATCAACAAACTCTTTATAAAAAACCTCTGCAAACCAAAGAACAAATAACAAATCACTCGAACTAACTCTGAAATAGCAAATTGAGAAGACTGCACCGCCGATCCCCACCGCCAGACTGCAGCGCCGGAGTTGCCGTTTTCCGCTGCTAGACTGCTTCGCCGGAGTTACCGTTTCCCCACCGTCGGAATACACCGCCGGAGTTACCGTTTCCCCACCGCCGGAGTGCACCGCCGATTGAGAAGACGACTGCAACTCTGGAAGTCTGGAACGACGCCTTGGAGAACTCTGGAAGTCTATCTGGCCGCTGCGGTTTTGGGACGCGAAGAAAGGTAAGGGGTTGTTTTCCGGCTTTTTTATTATTTTATTATTTTATTGGTATTTTTATGAATTCTCTAGTCCATACACGTGCAAATATGTTTTATTTTGTAATTTATTATTTTATTGAATATGATTATGTAGCTTAAAGTGGAAGTATTTAAGTTTCCTAGTTGGTATTCAATTAAATTTATATTGAATGTGATTAACTTTTTGTTTGTAATTTACAATTATTTTAAAATCAATAATTTAATTTACATGAATAAGTTAGTTTTACTTTGTAATATTTTCTAACAACGTAAATTTTCTACATCTGTAGGTATGGAACCTATAGACAAAGCTTGGATACAATTGAAGAATCGAGCATGTACACAGTACTTTGCGGGAGTGGAAAAATTCACGAAGTACGCAACAGACCATGTTAAAGACGATGATGCTCTAATAAGGTGTCCTTGCGTGGAATGTGGTAAGTTTGCAGCGCTAGGAAGGAGGCAACAGTAGGAACTTTGCAAGTTCCAATTTTCAATCGGAAGTTAGCAGATAGGAAGAAGGCAGTCTTAGGAACTTTGCAAGTTCCATTTTTCAATCGGATTATGTCTATGTTATGTTTTGTTTTGTTAAGTGTTTGGTTGTTTTGTTATATGTTTGAACAAGTGTTGAAGTTGGTCTTTGTTTAAGACAGTTTTGGTGGTTATGCCACCTAATTTTATGGAGAAGTTTCCTTTTTTGCTAATATATTGCATTAGTTAATTTCTTTTATGCTTTTAATAAATTACCTGCAAAATAAAATTTATTATTATTATTTCTCATTTTTCATCACTAATAATATATAGTAAAAATATTTACAATATCGGACAACGATATAATTTGGTTACAGTAGCACGAAATTCGGTTAGAATTGTCGAGTTGCTTCCCACGAATATTTTGTGTTTCAAATATTCTATTTGTAATGCAACAAAATGGTTAGCTTTAGTAAGTCATTTCCGATGAATATTTTGTGTTACAAATATTCTTTTTTAACACAACAATTTGGTTAGATTTAATATGTTTTTTTCGAAGAATATTATATTTTAAAAATATTCTTTTTTTAACACACCAATTTGGTTAGATTTAATATGTTTCTTCCGACGAATATGTTGTGTGACAAATATCCTATTTTTAACGCAACAATCTGGTTACATGAACACAAAATTTGGTCTAAATTAATTAGTTTCTCCCTACGAAACTTTTGCATCACAAATATTCGATATTTTCTTCTGACCTTATTTTCTCGTTGGAAACTAAATTTACAATTATGACGAATAGTTTTTGGTGACGCAAGATATTCATTATAAATACCACATGGGTGTTTTAGGAACATAATTAACCCTCGCAAAAAACTGTTCTTTTACGACAAACAACTGTGGTCAAAACGTATAAAGGGTATTTTCGGAAAAAAATGTCATCTTTTTATTAACGAATTTTTTCTTTACTAACAAACACGTTTTCCTCAATTATAGTTTATCAAACAAAATGTACTCCTCACAAAAAATATTTCATCCCTTAAAAATAGAGTTGGTCAAACAATTTCTTTAAGTACATTTCTTTTCTGATCACGATATTTTGCATAATGATAAAAAATAATTGTCACAAATGTATGATTTTCTGACGCAAGTACATTTAAACTATTAGCGAGGGACCTTTACCCCACGACTCACCAACGACCGTATTTTGTCAAAATAACCCTATTGTGACGAGCAAAGACCTTTTGTGACACCAATCGTCTGGTTACATCTGCCAGTCTTTTTTGTAGTGATTAAAGCACCCATACTTTAGAGCATAGTAGAAGTGCTCGGTATGTTTCATGAGTATTGTGATATGGTTTAATATCTTCTGGTTTGCTTCATGGCAGTTGTAAGCTTTTTGATTTTTCCGGTATGCTTCAGAAAATCTCAGGCTAAATTGCAAGTTTGGCCACTTGAATTACTAGTAAATTTTACGTTAGCCACTAGAATTACTTTATTCCATCCGTAGTCACTTAAATTAGTTCAACAGTTCAAGTTTGGTCATTCTCCGTTAACTTTGACTGACGTGACAGTCAACTTTGAGAGTTGACCGTTAAATGTGTGATGTGCCAATTAAAAAATAATAAAAAATAAAATTTAATATTTTCAATTTTCCACATTATTACAACCCATACAAAAATTTTAAAAAGTAAACTAATTTATATTTAGCCCTCGCCACCGTTGCATACACGCTTGGTGGCGGCGGCGAGGCAACTGGGCGCTTAGGGGAAGCAGACAAATGAGGCCGAATCAAATTGGGTGGAGCGCCAGAGCGTGGATGAGATTCAGTGGCGGTCGTCGGAGATTGGGGCATGTGGTTGCGGTGGCGGTGGAGCAATTCGTCAGAGAATTTGTTTATTTCTTCTTCTCCACCTTCTTCTCTTGAGTCTTTTGGTTTCCGGCTAAACTTTTTCTCATCTTGCTTCTGGAACTTATAGAAAAAACTCCAAATAAAAAAAAACTTAATGTATAACTCCATTTCGGGATAATGTTCGGCTCCAGTGGACGATCCTCATCCAATTCCTCGCGATGCGGCCCAACGGTCCCCTCCCAAGCTCCGGATCACCGGAATCGAGCTCCCGCAACGAGGGTTCCGACCGTCGGGGCAGAACGAGTAGACCGACCGCCACCTCGCCAAGTACTGTAACCGATTTGGCATGCCGTTTGAGTACCACCCGATCGCGTCCCAGAACTTGGGGCCATCCCGATCTAGGATTTCAAAATCGAGGCAGGGGAGGTGCTTGTGGTGAACTCACTCTTCCGGCTGAAGAACCATCTAGAAGAGTAGATCGATTCGAATTCTCTGAGGAACGCGGTGCCAAACCTGATCAAGAGGATGAAGCCGAACATATTCGTGCATACCGTGATCGACGGCGCGTAGAACACGCCCTTCTTCGTGACGCGGTTCAGGGAGGCGATGTTCCACTTCTCGTCGTTATTCAACATTTTCGAGTGCACGCTGGGGCGGGAGGACCCTGAGAGGATGATGTTCGAGAGGGAGATCTACGGGCGGAGCTGATGAACGCGGTGGCGGCGGAAGGCGCCGAGAGGGTGGAGCGGCCGAAGACGTACATTTAGTTTAGTTTTTTTTAATTTTTTTATGGGTGATAATAATGAGGTGGAAAATTGAAAATATTTATTTTTTATTTATTTTTAATTGTCACGTCACACGTTTAACGGTAAACTCTTACAGTTGACGGCCACGTCAGTCAAAGTTAACGGACACTAACGGAGAGTGAACAAACTTGAATTGTTGAACTAATTTAAGTGACTACGGATGAAATAAAGTAATTTTAGTGGCTAACTTAAAATTTACTAGTAATTCAAGTGACCAAACTTGCAAATTAGCTGAAAATCTCATTAGCATAGCACAAGTTACTGGAAGCTTACCATAAGTTCTATAAAGTAAACCACAAGTCTCATAAGGTAGATCATAAGTTTATATAAACATAGCACGAGTCCCATGAAGTATATCACAAGTTTATTAAAGCTGACCACAAGTCCTATACAACATGTCACAAAAGTCAATAATCACACCACAAGTTCATTAAAGCACACCACAAATTGTTTAAAGCATAACACAAGTTCTCTAAAGCATACCACAAGTCCTATAAAGTATATCACAAGTTTATTAAAGTATACCACAAGTTTAAAAAACAATACCACTTTTAAAAAATAAAAGAAATAACTTACATATAAAAAAACAATGTAAAGAATCAAAAAAATCTCTCCTAGCTCAACTATAGCGTCGAACCAGTTCTAGCGAAACTCCTTATTCTTCCTTCTCATTGATTGCTCTCGCTCTCCCTCCTATAAAGCTCCAACAACTATCTTTTGTACTTGTAAATTGTATTCCTCTCTCTCCTCCGCATCATTCATCCCGTAAAATCCCCCATGAATTCACTCGACCTGCCGCCGTCGGGTGTTAGCACCCTATTCGCTCTTGGTAGTGTCATTTTCAATTTTATTAATTTATAGGAAGGAGGGAGAGAATGCATTTTTCATTATTTGAAACAAAAGGGAGGGATATGTGTATACTGCCTACAGCGAAATTTGGTCCCGGTTGTTTGGTCAAATCGGAAACCGGGCAGTTTAAACCATCCAAGTAGAAACCAGAAACAAGATTGCATCCGATATGGTCCAGTCTCCAGCTTGCCTATTAGCCAGAAAAACTATCCCGATCCAACCTGGTTTAAAACCGAAAAACTAGAATAAGCGGATAACGTAAAATAGAACCCCAGGCCAACCGACAACCACTACCCAATCCCCAAGCGTGCCTCCTCCAGCCCAATGCAACAAATCCCACCCGTGACCCGATCCTCTAAGCCCAAAACCTAATCCTACCTGTCCCTCACAATGCTCTACAATCGCTCCCTGCTCCCTCTCTAATTTTCCCTCACCGAAAAACCAAAGCAAGATCTCGATCTCCCTTCCCTGACTCCTGTAGTCCATCGACCAATCAAGAAGCCCAAAAGACACTTTTCCGCTTGACCCGCCGCTGATCGCTCGACCCTCCGTACGAGATGGATAAGAATTATGTGAAAGATGCGGTGATGGCGACGGAGGGAAGTGAACTCTCGTGGGCGGTGAAGAAGGAACATGAAAGGTGAATGAGGTAGAGAATATTGTAATCATGGTTCAAAAAGGCACGCTTAATCTCACGCTTAGGCACGCCTAGGCGCAAGGCAATAGCAAAACGCCTCGCCTAGGGGTTTCACGCCTAATTAGATACTAGAACACGTCATGGAGTAAGGCGACATATAAGTCTCTCCTGAACATTACTAGATGGAGCTAGTAAGTCAATATTAAAGGCCAAAAATTAACATCAACTACGAAATCAATTTTCTATTGCAATATTTTCAATAGCTCAAGAACTTTGTGAGCTATTGAGCTATGATTCTATGAATTCGTGAGCTATGTTCTTGTCATTAAGTGTTGAGTAAGTTATTAATCATTTTAACTGAAGTGAGAAAGTGTTGTAGATAATCGAATAGCTATTTTTCTTCCAACGCCTAGGCACGCTGAGTCTACGTCTGGGCGAGCTAGGCGCAAGGCAAAGGATCAACGCCCGCCTTACGCCTAGCGCCTTTTTGAACCTTGATTGTAATATCACACTCTATAGTAGTATAATCCTGTTGAATCTACATATGAGAGCCAAGATATGTCAGTAGTGGAAAAGGTAGGGTTGATAATCAGTCAGTATTTGGTATACAAGGTGCTGGTGTTGTGGCTGCAGAATGCCGATACCGAATTTCAGTCAGCATACAGGATAGTCGGTAACCGGTATGTATCTGGTACCTCGAAAACCTATGAGAGCTGCTATGCTTTTGAAATGTTATTTAATATTTAATTTTTTAATTACATGATTAAAATAAAAGCTGCTTTGTCCCTGGAGTCAGATATTCATAAGGAAGGATGAAATCAGAGTCGGGCAATCAGTAGGGACAAAGAAGGGAGGGACATATCCGGGCGGGAATCCCACCTGAAATCGACGTTACAAAACTCTCTCTCGTCGGGCAGAATCGGGAAGAAAAAGAACTGTCATCGCCGGAATCACTTTCCACCGCCGTCGGAATCTCTACCCTCAAACTAGTGAACACTCAGCTTCTCCCCTGGTCTTCTCCTTCTTCTGCCTTTTAAGTCATTCATTTCTTCTTCTATTTCTTCATTTCTTTCTTCGTCCAGTAGTACCCAACCTCAATTCTCAGAATCAATCCTTCTTCCGACCAAGACAATAACAGAGAAGCTCTCTGCATCATGGACTGCTAGTGGCTGGTGAAGAAAAGAGGAAGATGGAGAGTTGGGACTCGGGAGAGAAATCGAGAAGCTCGCGGCGGGAAGGCAACCAGGAGGAGGCGAGGTGTGAATAAGGGTAGGGTTGGAAATCCGATGCGTTTTTCCCCTGAAAACATTTTTTCGGTATTCCGGATTACCATCGATGAGTTACCGGATGTTATCCGATATACCATTTTCCTAATTATGCTGCCGCATACCGAATATTACCGGTAACCGGTTTGGTAACCAGTTACACCAGATACCATTTTACCGAAGACTAGCCTTATAAAAGGTAACAAAAGCTGATTCTTTACTGGATTCCGTGGTGCAAACAATAACATCTTCAACATATGGTGTTTATCACTCCAATATTTGTTACATTTTTCCCTTCTATGAATGCATCTCTAGGAGTTTTTACATAAATTCATACGAATAACATAACTATTTTACTAGTGTGCTATTATTCGACCTATGTTGTATTTTTTTTTCTTTTATGTCTTTTTGGTATGTTTTTGTGCTTTTTAAGGTAAATACAACCTAGTATTATTGGATTTGATGCTTGCATAATTATGGAGGATCAATGGAGCATATATGAAAAGATCAATGAGTTTTCACCTATTAGACGAAGCCCAAAGGAGGGGAAGCCTACTAACAGTCTTTACTGGAGCCCATTGGAGGGAAACTTATCCCAAATAGGCAAAGGAATCTACAACAGCCTCAAGAAGGGTCCAACCAATCCAAACCCAAAGTTGATTAAGTTACGCCTAAAATTTTTAGGAGAAGTAGCTTAGCCCACAAACAACCTAGTATAAGAAGAAGGACGTCGTTGGTGCCTCCGTTGGACTGCTGCTAAGATTTCAAGCCCAAAGAAGCTTTAAGAAGCCCTTACTTTGTCCCCAAGTCAAAAAATTCGTATCCTAGTGGAGGAAGGGCACCTTAGCTGAGCTGGAATAGGAAAAATCCTAGGATTATTTTCCTATAAGTAGAGATGCAGGCTTCAGTTTTTTGTACACTGTAAAAGTTCACACTTTTCTTCTGTAAACACTCTGTTTAAGTGATAGCGTAACATCCATAGGAGAGGTGCGTAGTTGAGGAGATGTCGTCATTATCGATGGATGTATCCTCCTTCTCTTTAATATATAGCTAGTTCGAATTGATAGCGTATGAATGTGAACTTGTTATAATATGAGTATCTCATTCCATGATTTTGTATAATTCTTGTCATTGGATGCCTTTGAATTTCGATGCCCATGCTTATGAATATGTATTTGGTGTTTATGTGATCTAGTGCTTCTATCATTGATGCTTATTCTTATATTGTATGTTACTATATGAATTGTTTATAATATCATCTAGGATGTTAGGAAACTACTTTTTGTGATATTCCATTTCCTTATGCGTGTATGGGAGGATTGATCACCCATTCATCCATGTATATATAGGATCAATGGTTAATTGTTAGATCAATGATGCTATAGATCATATGTTCAGCTCAAGAGGCACACACTTATCTATTGTTATCCTTATTTCTCCGTTCTTTATTAGTAGGTTGATTGCATAAAGCGAAATCACTCATTAGCTAATTATTTTCCTCTTTCATGTGGTGAAAACTAGGTTTGGAAGACTTTAGTAGAAGAAAAAGAGTGGTAAATAGATGATACATTGATGCATGATATGAATGAGAATTGAAATACATATTTATGTCTAGTAAACTTCGTATTCAATTAAATATATTTACTTTTATGCTTTGTGTCGAGCATGAGTATTTGGGTGTGAGTAGTTATGCATTAGATGACCTTGTCGAATACGATCCTAGTTTATCTAGGATTTTTATTACTTGCATTGTTATACTAGAGTTGTCAGATTTTTGGTGCCGTTGCCGAGAATTTCTAATTATATATCAAAGAATCTAACTATCTTATGCCTCTTTTTTTTTATTAGTTTTAGTTTTAATTTGCTTTGCATGTTGTCGTATGAGTCCAGTCTTTACTAGAAAGAAGTCAAAATCAAAAGATTGTGGAGGAGATCATCAAAGTAGGGGGAGTATGTGGTTCACTGTTCTTGATATCAAGGAAGGAGCATTTAGCTGAGGAAAGTATGAGATTTTGAGTCCTATCCATCAAGAGTTCAACTCGAATTGGAAGGAGAATAATGACGAAGGCTACAGCTTTGATCTAAGAGAAGAAACCTATTCCATACCCTCTTCTACATCATTAACGATGGTATAAGAGCAAATAGTAGCCATCCCACCTACTCTGTACGAGTATT